TATAGCTGGAATATTGCTAAGTGCGGCTTAACACTAAACTCACTCACTCGACGCGTTTACACTACGAGGATAGAAAGAGGTTTTCATACCAGCTAGCTGGGGATATATTAAGAATAGTACGCATAGCCAAATGCAGTTATATGGTTATATTCAGTGTACGTTCGTGGTGATATGTCTGAACAAAGCGCAGTGCAACTGTGGTGTGATCGTGAAATGTTTACATTCGCTGTGCATTAAACGCGGTATTGCTTTGTTATACACAGACCGAAGTCCATTTTGCAGTTTGTATACATCTAAAAGCCTGCGTAAATCTAGGTCACGGTGAGCAGAGTCACATTCCCTTCATATTCATATGAAAAAAAGCAGAGGAGGGCGGTTCTATTGAAATACGTAATTGAAATTGTTCTGAAGAAATGTTTTTCAAGACTAAGACATGGTCTAGTTCATAAATCACTGTGTATGAAAGAACAGACAACGATGTATGTTAATGATCAATATCTGACTAACAGGATCGTAGCATGTTATCACATACAGAATCTGACGCCGATACACTGGTATTAATCACTCGATGATCTTTCATTTATATAGACAGAAGGGATTAGAGCATTATGAACAAAACTGTGGCTCTACTCACCTCTCACACCCACACCTCAGAGTTGTTCAATACACTGTACAGCTATACCGGTATGAACTACCAGGAAGTGAATAAATGAAGCATGAGGCACCCGTGAAGAGCCACCTCCTCGTGGTGCGTGCTGGGTAACACTAAGATCGCTTCAACCCCCGTGTGGACCCGGGTGCATATTGATTAACAGCACCCCATTGCTGGTCGTACGACCGAATTGGACATCCCCGGGTTGCGCCCCTGTGTCGATGGAGGAAGCGATTCTAGTGGTTGAGGGCAATGGAGCCAGGAAAGTGTTCCTATTGCTCAACACACCGCTTCGGCCCCAACTTCACCTAGACAGGTGGTTCAATGGGCCCGATTCTATCAATCGGCTGGTCATGTCGAGGTCTGTGCATTACTTGTATTTGAACAAATTATATTATGAACTACATTTTTTACTTTAGGTCTTGGCTCATGTTGTTTGTAAAATATCACCTGGTTTTGAAATATATCCTATTTAATTTGCCTTGAGTGTTATGCCCAGAAAGCGATGGCTCATGGGCCAATCTGGTGGATTGATTAATTTTCAATTAGTCTTCTGTTGGAGTACACCATCTCAGTATCCTCGGTGCCGCCAGTCGGTGATCCACTGGTATATAGCATTGTCCTTGTGATACTCCGTGGTGGGTGTGGAGCTGGGATGGTGAACCTTCTCAAATTAACCATGGCGCAACCAAAAAAAATAAGCGCGCATTAGATGAATGTTCATCTCTGATGAGGACAATACTACAAACAAATCTCCTGATATTTGGAGCAGATGTCTGGTAGTATCGTCTATATGATGGTGGACCTCTTAAATAAATCCACTTGCCACATCCAAAGCAATTTATGGAATTGTTGGGAATGTTCAAACTGTCATAAACATAGAAACCGAACTTAAAAATCAAGGTGTCACCAATATGAAACGTTTCATAGCAAAGAGAAATTGTGAAAATACAAAAACAAATGCATACTTGCTTTCGTTTTCTCGACCCAAACATCCAAAATGTATCAAAGATGGATATTGTATCATCGAGGTGGAACAGTACATACCAAACCCACTTTGTTACATACCCAAACCCACAAATGCTAAAAGTTTGGCCATGGTGCCCAATCTTGCAGGATTCCCGTCACTTGTTACCGATGTGGTGAAGCTGCACCATGACGGATCTAATTGTCTTACATCTCCAAAATGTGTGAGCTGCCATGGAGAACACATGTCTTCATCTATGCAATAGTCAAAACTTAAAGTCCCAAAGAATATAACATACCAGGAAGAAAAGCTTTTATTAAATGCAATCCCCTCATCAACAGGTATGTCACACTCAGCAGCTGTCACACACCCTCTTTCTAAAACCGTCAAGTCTGTTGCCTGCCAGACTGATATTACGTGGGTACAACCAGACAAGTACTCTGTCATTAAACAAGTACAAAAGAGACACAAGTACACAGTCACAGACGCATCCAACATCAATGGTTTCATCTCCTATTGTGAAACATGCAAGCCAGAAAGTAGATTACACACAAAAATCTTATCGATTTCCTAGGGTTCATGAGACCCAGTTCAAAGTTTCAGCAAATTTCAGATACTGGAAGACATGGATGTCTCCCCTCATCCCCGTGCAGGCGACAGAAGTAAGTCGCCTCGGACTGGGAAATGTAGATTCCCAGTACTTCCAACATCAACATGAGTCATAACTCTTTAATTCAGTGGAATTGCAGAGGTCTGGAAAACATTTTCAATGAAATACAATTACTGATACAGGATTTTCGACCGTCGGCGTTATGTCTTCAGGAGACATATATAAAATCTACAGACACTTTTAATTTACGAAAATACAGTGGTTATCACTCTTTCTCTCCTCAAGGAGATAAAGCAACTGGGTGTGCTTCTATGTTGGTACGGCAGGTATTATCAATAGCCCTGTTTCTCTTCATACCAATCTCCAGGCTGTAGCTGTCCGTCTGTCATTGCGCATTGCGTTAACACTAGCAGTTTGTATATCCCCTCCTTCTTCTACTATTCAACAATCAGATCTTCAAAACCTGAATGATCAACATCCGAAGCCATGTCTCATCATGGGCGATCTTAACGGACACAACCGGCTTTGTGGAAGTGCCCGTACAAATAAAAAAGGTAAAATCCTTGAAGAATTCATTTCCGATAATAACCTGTATATATTTAACGACGATACAAACACATATTTACATCCATCTGCTGGAACCTATTCTTCTCTGGATCTGTCACTCGCTGGCTCCATCTTGTATAATGAATGTGAATGGATGGTCCATGATGACCTATGAGGGAGTGATCACTTCCCCACCATTCTCAAAACATTCAACCCTGGTGATGATCCTCCTTTATCAAGAAGGAACTTCGCCAGGGCTGATTGGTCATTATATGAGACTCTGTGTGTTGAACACTTAACACATGGCCTTTTCAGGAACAGTGAAGATCCTATACAGTCGTTTTCCGATATACTCACTGACATTGCTGGCCAAACTATACCCACGTCCTCTGCAATTCCACATATTCGTAAACAATGGTTTACCAATGAATGTAAACAGGCCAGAAACAGTAGGTAGAAAGCTGAAAAGTGTTTTCGCAAACTTCCAACAGTCCATAATTTAGATAAAGTTAAAATTTTAAATGCCAAGGCTCGACGCTCTTTTAAACAGAATAAGCGTCAGTCTTAGAAGAACTATGTTTCCAAAATTAATTCCCGTACACCGATTTCAAAGTCGTGCAAAAAATAAAACGTAAAGGCTCAAAATCTACTGTCCACCATCTCAAGGATGGTGACAATTTATTAACTGATAAGTCTGACATTGCCAATAAGCTTGGTGAAACTCTCGCCAAACATTCTTCTTCGTCAAATTACGTCCCAAAATTTAAAAAATATCAGAAACAACAGGAAAAGAAGAGAATAAAGTGAGTGAGTTAAAATTTAAAGTCACATCGGCAATATTTCAGCCATATCATGACTAGAACTAGTTCTTAACTCATAATACATGCACAACATATAAAACCTGTCGACGAAGTACAGTAAAAGTACTAGACTATCACAAAATGAGTTAAAACTAGCTAGCACATAGAAAAACTATTTTCGGACAATACAATGTAAAAATGGGCTATATATCGCCAGCAACTAAAGGTAGATCACCATACCAGGAACCATGGGGACTTACTGTGCCTTTGCTACCTTCATGAATCCTAGCTGAATTTACACCATCCCTTCAGCCACTGGCGATTATTCCCACGTATTGGTCGATCTGATGATGTTGAATCTTTCAGCTGCGTTCATGTAAATCAAAAACTTTATTAGCTCTCCAAATAGAGGCAAGCGGTATCCAGTCTTTAGTCAGTGCCTCCTTGTATGGTCGTCAAGACGAAGATTCATTTGACATCTAATTTCTATGCAGATGATTTATACAGTCACCGTGCTTTATAAGCATTTGAAAACAATGTTTCAGGCTCAGTTTACGAGTATTCTATTTCCGTTTTCATTACCCTCAGCAGCTGTGACACATTTACATTATGTACGAAACAGATCATGTTTAATATATTGACCAACCTTCCTGTTGAATAGTGAGAATAGTGCATGTTAACACCAGTTTAGGTCATTTGATGATATGATTCAGGATTTAACTGTCAAATAAGAATGTCATGGCAAAGTGCGTCGTTTCCACTCGATGGAGATGATTCACTTAACATAGAAGCTAAGAATTCATTAGATACTGAGGAAAGGGTCGTCATGGTCCCTGGTATGGTGATCTACCTTCAGTTGTTGGGGATCTATAGCTTGTTGTTATATTGTAACGTCTTGTATAGTTAAAATGTTTTAAATTGATTACTTGTTTTAACAATTATATCTGAGATAAACTAGTTGTTTTACTGTCCTTCGTTGACAGGTTTTTATAATATGCCTACAACTATTATAAATGTGTAGATTGATATAGTCACGATATGGGTGAAATACTGCCGATGTGACATAAACATTTTAACTCACTCACTTACTGACGAAGTGGTAACACACGGTCACAAGGACAGTTAACACTATCAATAAAATACAAGTCCGCGGTCTCACTGTAGAATCCCGTCACTCCTGTTCCGTTTCAGCTGGAAATTTGGAAACATAACGTCAGTGGAATCTTATTGGTCCGTGGTGTGGCATTTTATAGTTGAAGTATTATAGACCAATACATCAACAGTTTTGTTCACGTTATCCCCCTGGCATCACCACTGACGAAACAGAACGATATTTTACCAACCTTCCGATAGAATAGTGAGACATGAGAAACGTATCACATAATATCATCTTGCTGCTGCATTTTATAACTGTAGTTGGCTTACGCTGGTCACACCTGTCACTGAACCACCCTGTTGCATATCCTCCAGGACATGTTCCATTTGTCTTGATGCAAACATCACCATCCACACAGTTGCCACACTGGAAGCCACAGGTCAGACCATAGTAACCATCTGTACATTCTGTGGACATAAACGAATTATTTTCTCAGTTAATCCGATGTTGTGGCTCCGGATGTTAACGTGACAAATAAGACCATCATGACACTTGAAGAAGATGCTTATATACAATAGAATCTCAAGATTCACTGGTTACTTAGAAAAAGATACCAAATAGTCCATAATAACATTATACATTAGCAATACAAATACAAGACAGTGGTCGGTATGTCGAATCTCATCACGCATGAGTACAGACTTTAGAAGGCTATGCAAAGTTGCTTTTATTGGTTCCGTTAAATCACCAGATTAGATGAAGCAGTTAAATATAACAGAAAATACGAGCTTAAGTTCTAATGCGCGTTTGCTGGACGACTGTTGGATTACAAAACCATAAAAGTAAATATATTCGATGATCCAACACTGTTAAATGAAACCAATAAATAAACGAAACATGCAACCAAAGTATAATGGTATTTGTCTTCGCATTGACACCACTTTGTGAAAATTAACTTAAATGCTAACTATTTTGCATACCTGCTTGGCAGTTGGTTCCATCATACCCTGGGAGACATCCACTAGAACAGAGACTAGTGATATTGTCACATACATCAGTACTGTAAAGATAAAACAAATATCTCATGAGGACATATGGCCTCGATATAAAGCGCAAAGGCATTATGAGTGAGTGAGTGAGTGAGTTGGTATTTATTGTCACATCGGCAATATTTCAACGATATCGTGACGAGAACCAAAGGGATAACAGTATAATATAAAACATGTGGTCAAGGAACACAAGAGGCACGATCAGTTCAGTGATAGTTAAAACGCATTTTAATGCTGTAGTCACTTAGACATACATCGATGAAACCATTGGATATTGCATACAACCACCCTTTGGTATTTGCCAATACTTACAATCCACATAAATAAATCACGTGGAAGCTTTAATTTTTTTTACCTCATGTACTTATCTTCCAAGACAGCTCAGGCTCGCTGACTTGGTTGACACCTGTCATCGGTTCCCAATTGCGCAGATCGATGCCAATGCTGTTGATCACTGCGTTGTCTGGTCCAGACTCGATTATATAGCTGGAATATTGCTAAGTGCGGCGTAAAGCTAAACTTACTCATTCATTCACTCCAAGACAGCAGTTCACTTCCTGTGAATATACTCGGGAAGAAACATGAGAGACAATTAATACTTGACACATTAATGGAAAAGAAAAAAAATATTCTTTGCATCAACATTACAGTGTCCCTTCATCAAATATGTATCATTTACATGTATCTGTAAGCTGATTTTTTTTACACAAGGTTGGTTTAATGAACAAACTCCTGATTACAAGCCAAACACCAACATCAATATCTGTAAAAGAAATAACTGCACACAGCTATTGTAATACAAAAATGAAGTCAGTCATTAACCGACACCAACACGAATTGAAAAATTGCAAAGTATCATTTCTATGGCATTTCTTATATGAAGAGCAGCCTTCTTATTTAATACGATCATGAAAGGTATACCACTATTCACCACAGGTTTGTGCAAAATTTAGTTTGGCTGCTTTTATAGTTCTCCTTTAGGACAGGCATGTGTTGCAGGGTTTGGTACCCGCGATAGGTCCTGATCTTGTTAACGCCCATGTCTGGTAAAGTGTTTTAAAACTACCATAAAATGAAATATATCTTCCAAATACATACTGCTGGTACTGTATCCACAAAATGCTCATAACCGAGGAGGAAAATGAAGTAGGCGAACATAATTAATTGAATCTAGTAATGAACATAATTCATTAAAAATAGTAATGATCCATAACTGATATTTCACTGATGAGCATACAGCACTTATCTCATTAAAGAAATCACTGCGTAAGACAGACAAATTTAAATTAGTTACTTTCAAAAATAGGTCACACAAGAATATATAGAATTGAATTCCTACTCCGCTTATAGTAAACATGGTCAATGGCGATTCTCAGTCCAACCTGAAAGGTCGTGACTGCTGCTCAATAGAAAACGTCATGGTTACATAATACATTCTTGCTCACTGGCCGCAGGTTAAAAAATAAGAAAATACAATACGAATAAGCGTCACTGACCAACGTGAAGTATCATGTAAAAACAGCATGTTGCTCCAAATTCTATGTTATCGAAAAAACAGCGTGTTGTTCATTTGGATACAATTATGTTGCAAATCAAAACAATATCATTTGGAAAAAGCAAAACATGAGATGACAGAACATGTAATTTGCCACAATAAAACGAAGGCTTATTATTGGTGATGTAATGAAAATATATTTGACATTCATGAAAAAAGGTGTCAGTGAGATGTGTACATACCAGCACACCCCGGTTTTGCTCTTACAAAGCAGCTATCAGTGGTATCTTTGACACTTATAGAATGACGCATGTACATACGGGCACGTTCGACACATATGAAACTATAGGTGCTTGAGGCTCATTATTGGTGATATGTTTGACATTCATGAAAAAAAGGTGTCAGTGAAATATGTACATACTGACAAGTGTAAACGTGATTTTGAGGTGATGCATTTCAGTGCAGGAATATTGTTAAAGTAACATAGCTTTGTGCAATTTGCTAACCTTTAGATAGACAGTGGACCCGATTAACCAAAAGGTCACATTTCCTTCACCAGACCGATGGCAAGACGTGTTAACATGCGTTGAGGTAAACAATACGTCAGGCCAAGTGTTCTTGATAACTATCATGATCAGGGATGCAATAACTCTTAAAAAAGAGGACTCAAATCATTGCATTTGATAAAAGATACAGGCTGATTAACCATATTCACAATCGTTATATTGTAGATATTTTACGCCAGAGCACGACTTACTTGAGCTGTACACTAATAGTGAGTGAGTGAGTTTAGTTTTACGCCGCACTCAGCAATATTCAGCTATATGGCGGCGGTCTGTAGATAATCGAGTCTGGACCAGACAATCAAGTGATCAACAGCTTGAGCATCGGTCTATGCAAATGGGAACCGATGACATGTGTCAACCAAGTCAGCGAATCTGACCACCCGATCCCGTTAGTCGCCTCTTACGACAAGCATGGGTTACTGAAGGTCCATTCTAACCTGGACCGTCACGGGTCTGTACTCTAAAAGTGACCTAAAGTGAGAAACTACGCTTATCTACACTCAGAACAATTTACTTTACAAAAGACTACTCTATATCAATGTACATCAAGACAGGACGCTTTATGCAACAATTCAGTTTAAATTCGTCCCTGAGGGACTTCGACTGCATTAACATAAGGATTGGTATTGTGAATGTGTTCATATGTGTTCTCCACAACTGGATCCCTGGTTCTCTCGTCTAGGGGTATGTAGTGGTCTTCAGGTTTCTTTTGTGAGGCATCCAGTTGAATCGTCAGTCTGCAATGTTTTAATCCTTACAATTATAATATAGACATTATATCATTCTCCGAAAGAAATGCATTCCAATGTAATAACTGGTCAATTTGGCACAAAATGTTAATCCCCGTAGTGAATATCAATGTATATAGTTTATACCTCATCTTCCCCGTACCTTCTAATGTAAATGATGGATGTCAACAGAGCGATGAGAGCCAAGATGAGAAGTGTACCAAGTGTTGCTGCAACTGGCACTACCTGGTTTGAGTATCCTGGCGTTGCCGGGCACTCTGTACTACCTTTGAAAACATAAACAAGGGGTTCAGCTGCCTTGGTGTCTTACCAAGTTACCCTCAAGAGATATATAAAGATAAAGAAGGACAGTGGACAGGGCAGAAAAATTACAACTTCCGTCACATTCAAAATTGCATCCCACCTTTACAAAAGGGTTCTTGAAAGCCTGGCCGACATCCTTGTTGACATGTTCCATTGACCTTGTTACAAGGCGAGTTTCCTTTACATTGACCACATTCAGACTGACATTGGTGTCCATGGCGACCGTCACTGCAAGCTGTAAAGGATTATTAACCATCAACGACAAGTCAAAGCGTTTAAGACATATTAACAGTAACAAGTGAAGATTTTATACCAACCTTGTGAACAGAAATCTGGCCACCATCCAGGCTGACATCTTCCTCCAGGACATGCCCCCGTCACCTTGTCACAGACGTCAGTGTCCAGACAGTGACCACACAGAGACGCACAATTGGCACCATAACGTCCATCTGGGCATGCTGTTACATAAACACGTCCCAGTGAACAATAATTAGCCTCGGTGATGCAGTTGAAATGTGTCTGTTGTGTGAGCAGGAGGCATTACAACACCAAATGTCAAGGACATTTGGGGCATATTGTCCATTACTCGTGACATGTTTGCTCAAGTTCCTATGTATGTGCAAGTTGATTTGATGATTGCTAAAAGATTGTTCATGCTAACCAGGAATTTCCTATTGAGATAAACGATAAAGTCAAATCTGAACGAGAGGTATCCAAACTTCAGAGCTCTCGAATTGTTTACACCTTGGTTGTACAGACGTATTTTGATTTTTTCTACACGAAGATGCATTTAGACATCTAATTTTCAATATACAATGTGTATACCTTAGGAGCATTAGAAAACAGCATCATCTGAAAAAGACCAATACACCACTAATTTTGGTTACTTATTCTCCCCAACGTCACCACAGACGTAAGAGTACATTTGTAATATGTTTGCTAATGTTCCTGTTGAATAGTCACACATAAGACATAAAGGATACCATAGTGTTGCTACCGCTATCAATAACTGCAGCTGACTTACGCTGATTACACTTGTCGTTGAACCATCCTGCTGCACATTCTCCAGGACATGTTCCATTTATCTTGATGCAAGCATCACCATCCACACAGTTTCCACAGTGGTCGTCACAGTTAGGACCATAGTAACCATCTGGACATGCTGGGTACGCACATAAATGTTTCATGATGTCAATATTGTTTGCATTTAACGTCCTCTATTTCCATAATGACAAAAGAAATGATGGCACAAGGAACGATGAATGAGAAACAGAAATTCAAATTTTCTTGACCACATGCAAATTACAACAGTATGGTAATTAACAAACGTACACATAATTTTATCGTTAGCTAAATAGTTGGCCATTAATGAAACCGAAACATAAACAAATCATACTTAGTCTGATCACAGTTTTAATCGTAGTACTATGTTCTTTTAATTCATGGCTAATTTTGTCAAAATTGCCGACAGCTGAATGTATGATGTTAATGTAGTTGTGTTACTGTGCCTTCGTGACAGGTTTAAAAAGATACATGTAATTTTAGTAATGCGTAATTTGATCTCGTCACGATATATCTGAAATATTGCCTGTGTGAAGCTAAATATTAATTCACTCATTCACCATTCCTTCAATATTCAAGCACCATTTGCCTCGTATCTGTACCACATTTGAACACGGGTAGCATTCTCTTGTACATCCCACAGAGCATATTCCTGTGAACTTATTCCACAAATGATTATGAAAACAGTTTCACACTTTGACGCACGGTTCATACCATACCGTCTCTTCTGACAAGCTGCACACATTAAGTCTAGAATGTTCACTTTGCTAAGATACAAGGAAAATATTCCAGGGAAGAGGTCTCAGTAAAACCTGAGAGCAAAGAAAAACCTCACACGCGGTTATTCCGGGAAAAGAAGAGATGCTTAATATATAGTGTGAAGCACACTTCAGGTTTATATTTATGGTTCAACCCGCAAATCGTATCTTAGAGAGCTCCATACCATTCATAATCAAGGTATCAGAATGTGTCTGGGCGCATTCAGAACTTCCCCAGTCGAGAGTATGTATGTTGAAGCAAACGAACCATGTTTAAAGTTAAGGAGAATGAAACTCGCACTTCAATATACTGCTAAACTTCACTCAAATCCATCTAACCCCGGTTTAAACTTGGTATTGAATCCTTCCTACAAGGATTTATATGATAGTGAATCAAACTCAACCCCACCTCTTGGTATACGTATACAGTCCCGTATCAGGGATGCTCATTTAAATCTTGAGAATATATCAACATTTAACATTCCAGAAATACCGCCTTGGTAGTCCACTCAGCCGGATTGCTTGACTGCATCGAATATTCCATCACAAGGGATAGCTATTTCAAAGTAAACACTACGAAGGATCTTTTTAATAATGTTAGTTCTCATTTAATTATTACATTTTTAAAAGAATTAGATTTGTTAAGTGATTTGTAAATAGATACTTATTTTATAATTGGTAATTTAAATTAGTAACTGAGATTGTTAGTGGCTGTACCCTCAAAGGGGGTTGAAGTAGCGTAAAATTATTGTCCTCCTGAGAGGGTACGTAAGTCCCAAAACTTTCAAAGTAAAGTATAAATTATCACATTTTAAACGTAGTATTTTTGTTATTGTAACTGTTTGCTAAATTTTCCTATAATCGCCAGCGGATGAAGAGATGGTGTTAATCCAGCTAGGATCCATGCAGGTAGCAAAAGTAATGTAAGTCCCCATGGCTCCTAGTATGGTGATCTACCTTCAGTTGGTGGCGATCTATAGCCCGTTTTTATATTGTGTTGTCCCCTATAGTGAAAATGTTTTAGATTCAATTACTAGTTTTACATATATATCTGTGATACTCTAGTTGCTTTACTGTCCTTTGTCGGCAGGTTTTATGATCTTTATATATATTAATTCAATGTCAAGTGTTCTCGTCACGATATGGCTGAAATATTGGCGATGTGACGTTAAATAATAACTCACTCACTCACCCATTCAGCCGGATGTTAATTTAGATATGGCAAGACTGAAGAAAGCTGTTACAAATACCTTATTGTACCAACAAGCATTCTTAGAAATTAAAGATAAATACTCCTCTTACCAAAGCCTTTACACGGATAAGGTATCAGCAGCCGCTGATGAAGACACCCTTTCCCTCAGATTAACTGATGGAAGTTATGTTTTTACTGCTGAATCTATGGTAGTTATATTAGCATTACAATTTATTGAAACATCAAAAGACAGCAATTTCATTATTTATTCAGATAGTTTTTCCTGTTTACAGGCAATCAAAAACCGTAAACATAATCACCCGTTTTTAGACAAAAGTTTAAGTCACAATCTTGACATATCTATGACTGGGAAGGTTATCGTGTTTTGTTAGCTTCCAAGCCACTCTGGTATACGAGGTAACTCTATAGCAGATTCCGTAGCTAACAAAGCCAAGACTCACTTCCCTTTTACTGACCTCAAACCTGCTATTCGACAATATGTAACAGATCAGTGGCAGTAGAGTTGGAATGATCAAGCTTCATTCTATAAAACCCAATATTGGACGGAATCCATTGAATGGACTATTCGTCAAGATTAGGTTGTGATTCGGCGATTTCGTATAGGACATAGTTACTATACACATTCCTTTTTATAGAAAGGAGAAGATCAGCCATTTTCATCCTTTGCCATAAACCGATTACTGTCAAGCACATTTTGCTTGAATATGTTGACTTTTCCCTTATTAGACAACGTTTTTATGACGATGTTCCTACTTTATGTGAACTTTTAAAAAATGTTTCTAACCACTTGATTTTAGCATATTTAAAAGAAATCAAACTGTATGAAAAAAATATAGGTTTTTATTTCAGAGATCAGTTTTTACCTTTGAATGTGATACTTGACTGATATTGTAGTGATTTTCAACATCACTTATTATTTTCAGTGTATTGTAAGGTGAATCACATTTCCTCGCCGCGAATACCTGCAACATTGCTGGTGCGGCCTTAAGGAATATTCACTCACTCACTCCCGATGTGAAGTTACATTTTAAGTCACAAATATTTAATATGGAAAGGGTTCTGTTCTGCCTATACTTACATAAAGACATATTTAAATACTTGTGACACTATTCAGGGAGCATGCATAAAACAAAACAATCCTCGAGAAACGAAAATGTACCCACGTTGAATACAGTTGTCTGTTTGCCACCCTGCAGCACAACCTTCAGGACAGATGCCTGTAGTCTTGTTACAATAATCAGGATTGAGGCAGTTTCCACACTTGGAGGTACAATTTCCATAGTAACCGTCTGGACACTCTGTACGTGAGGTTAAAGAATCAGTAAGTTATTCAAAAATAGCATTTTCGGACACATATTACATCATATCATTAAGGATAATATGATAAACGTATCCTAGAGACATTAGGGATACTCTAAAGAAGATATGTTGGTATCAAACACCTTGCACGTACGGCAAGCGTTCCGAAGAACGAATTCCATTTGGCGTAAGTTATTGATAATGTCGTTAAATATCATTGATGCTTGGCAAGAAATATTATGGTCTACATTCCAGTCTTCTAGGTACAAACACCTGTTTCGATTTTAACAAAATGATCCAGGATTAAGGTCGAGTTTATCAGCGTAATGAGAGTATCGTGTAGTGTTCACTTAATTTGTTCTATAACGCCGCAATTAAGCAGTATTACAGCTATTTGGTGGCGGTCTGTTTCAGATAATCCAGTGATACACAGCAAGAGCATGTGGGAGTATCGTGTAGTGTTTGCTTTATTTGTTATGTAACGCCGCGCTAAGCAGTATTCCAGCTATTTGGTGGTGGTCTGTATCAGACAATCTAGTGATACACAGCATAAGCATCGATCTACGCAATTGGGAAACGATGACATGCGTCAACCAAGTCAGTGAACCTGACCACCCGATCGCGTTAGACCAATTGCTGAAGACCAATTCTAACCCGGATCTCAACGGGTCTGTTTCTGGCAACAAACAATGTCAATATTTCTGCATTCCGTCCATTGGGAGGTTCAGACTTGTACCTGTTTGGCAGTCTGGACCCATGTATCCTGGAGCACATCCACTCAGACACTGCCCAGTGATCTTGTCGCATATTTCTGTGTTTAGTGAACAGTGACACTGTTTTTCACAGTCCTCACCAAACCAGCCGTCACTGCAAACTGAAAACGAACATGAAAAGAATACATAACCAACTTTCATAAATGATGAACAAAAATGTGGAAACAGTTCATTCCAGTCTACCAGCTAAAACAAACAACACAATGAGGAAAAATAACTGCAAGCCTATCTGTAGTTGATTAGGCAGCTTGTGACCTAACTGAATAACTTTTTATAACAACGTAAGAATAAATTAAAATGTTCAGCTAACAGGTGTACGTTTACCTACCAAATATCTGCACCTCGCACAATGTGAGATAATTGCTGTTCTCTATAGTGAGGTTGTTTCCTGTCAGTGCTTGTTGACATTTGACATCAGCTACAGTTGGCGGATGATTATTCCTTGACCACTGGAAGCAAAGCTGTCCACCAACATATATCTGCATACCATTGTTTCGGGCTTTGTCTGCATATTAAAGGGAAAATCTGCTGTAAAGGTTAAATCGAAGACGAAAAATTGGAACTTGATTTAGATGATAATGATGACCAAACATACATACACTGACAACAGTTCCGCACTTCAAGAACTATACATCAACGATGCATTCTATTTTGTTAAGAAATTACAACAACAAAAAAAGATAAAAATAAAATATTATATTTTGCTACTCACACTTGCTACGTAGATACAGCTTGACGTGTTGTATCTTGTCTGTGTTTGAATTGTTCAGGTACACAGTCCAAGTTTGGTCTCCAGCTAATGTATGTGTACATGTGAATGGTCTACTATAGAAGTCTGTGGTAGCTCTGCCATCCACGCCATACTTAGCCTCGAAAACCTGATGTGTATTCCCTGTTCTGGTGCTGTTTTCACTGTAGGTACTGCTCTGTGTGGCACTTCTTCTCAATGCAATATTCTCTGAGGAACGGAAAATCACGTTTACCACCTTACACGTAACACAGCAGTCGAAATGATGACATTAGACTGATTGTGATAACATTTTGACTGTATGTGCTACTCTGGCGGACCTCTTCCTAATGCAATATTCTCTGAGGAACGGAAAATCACGTTTATCACTTTACCCATAACACAGCAGTCGAAGTGATGACATTAGATTGATTGTGATAACAGTTTCCTTGTACGGATGACATTACATGCAGTGCCATCTACTTAGTGCAGTGTTGTTGAGAATGGAACAACACAGGTTCCCCGACACCTACCTCTTCTAGACAACAGTGCCTGTGTCACAGAGAATTTCTTTTTTCTCCAAGTTGAGTGCATAATAGTACGTAAGTTCCAAAACTATCAAAGTAAAATATATATTTACCCCAGTTTAAACGTAGTATTTTTGGTATTTTAACTGTTGGCTACATTTTCCAACAATCGCCAGCGGCTGAAGGGATGGTGTAAATCCAAAGAAGGTAGCAAAAGTAATGTAAGTCCCCATGGGTCCTAGTATGGCGATCTACCTTCAGTTGTTGGCGATCTATAGCCCGTGTTTTATACTGTATTGTCTTCTAAATAATTGGAATGTTTTATCTTTGCTCGCTAGTTTTATATTCATATCTGTGATTCTGTAGTATTTTTACTGTCCATCGTCAACAGGTTTTAATCTTCCAAATGTTTTTACTTTTTTATTGTATAAATTGTTTTCGTCACGGTATGGCTGATATATTACCGATGTGACGTTAAATATCAGTGAGTGAGTTAATATTTAACGTCACATCAGCAATATCTCAGCCATATCGAGTTAAATATCAACTCACTCACTCACTGAGTGCATAATGGACAAGGATGAACGGAATGTCATTATCTGGATTCTGACAGTTTTGTAGTTGAGGCTCCCGGTGATATAAAATATATCAACTACCAAAAGGATTTGATGATTGGCGCTTCTGTACGTTGGTCTCAAACCATCATCAGGGGTGAGTTGCCTTTGACAGAGTAGGTAACACTGATGTCTGTGCTAACGTTCCCTATTCCGGTATTCTAACTCAGGAGCTCATGCATTATACCGAAATGTTTCAGCTAAATATACAGTTCGTTAAGTCGACCACTAATACCATAAATACCCGAGAAATAAGTCCATAGTATAAGTCAAACCTGCTACAATGTGCAAATCATATCTACATCTAAAACATCTTCTATTCGTGGATAAGCTTGGCTATACATATGTGATACCATATATCAAAGTAATCTATGATGTCCGTGAATAAGAAATTGCCGTATGAAAACCGATTGAGAATCAAGATGGTGATCTGTACCGATACTCGGACTGCCGTGGGAGAGGAAGGCACACAATAGGCACTGTACCGTGACGAGGCTTGATTTACAACTCGATAACAGAGACCATTCCAGAGGTCATGGAGCGTACTTATTATCTTCCCATAATATGATTCAAAATTGACCTACCGTGCTTATTATCTTTGCTTTGCTTTTTTTCTAAATTGTGAAAGCAATTACAAGAGATTGTCAAGACACTTCAAATGTATTTCTTTATCTTGTGAATAGCCGCTTTGTCCAATATTCTATGAGTAATAGGCTGCAGCAGCTGGATTCTGTAGAGATGATACCTACTTTTGGGGTGTGGTACAATGGTGATTACAAAGTATATATGTTGTCAAGAAATATCTATATTTTTTGTAAATTTGATCTTGCCGAAAGTAGGTTATAATTACATCAGTGCATAGTTTACAAAGCAATGTTTTGAATCTATCTGAGGGTAATATACTTTTGTTGTTGTTTTGTGTTGTTATTGTTGTTGTTGTTTAACGAAGCACTCTGCATTATTGAATTAAAATGATGGTTTGTAAATAATCGACTTGGAAAAATACAATCCAGTGAATAACATGAGCGTCTATCTTCTCAGTTTGGATACCATGACATGTGTCAACCATGTCAACGAGCCTGACCACCCTCTTATGACAAACATAGGTTGCCGCAGCACAATTCTAACCTGGATCAGCACGGTTGAGGGTAATATAGGACACACCGCGGGGCTACGTCATCATAAGATGAGTTTTTGTATCTAGGAACACTTCAAAGAGACATCAATCAATGTTCAATGCAGAAAACACTTTAGAACATGCTTTCGACTGTGATTTCTGAAACCTAATCCGTACCTAGTCACTTTGCAAAATGCAAACGCCATATACTCACGTCTTTGGCAGTAGGAACCGAACCAACCTTCCTGACATTTGTCTGGATCGTCGACCTGGCTACAGGGAGTAGAGGGGAACACGGCACAGGCAGCTGCAGTGGTGCAGTGACATCCGGCATCTAAAAGTAGTTTGAAAGTGAACATGATGTGTGGGTTTTTTTAAAATGCAAGTATATTTGCTTGTACATATCGCATTTTGTAGAGGTATGTTCATTTAGATGACATTATGAAAAAAGTCGAAAAGTACCACATGCAATATAGTATGTGTGTGTGTGTGTGAGTTTAGTTTTACGCCGCACTCAGCAATATTCCAGCTATATGGCGGCGGTCTGTAAATAATCGAGTCTGGACCAGACAATCCAGTGATCAACAGCATGAGCATCGATCTGCGCAATTGGGAACCGATGACATTTGTCAACCAAGTCAGCGAAACTGACCACCCGATTAGTCGCCTCTTACGACAAGATAGTCGCCTTGTTATGGCAAGCACATGGGTTGCTGAAGACCTATTCTACCCCGGATCTTCACGGGTCGCAATATAGTATGACACAGGTATTTGAATTACCTCTAGTGCTTACCTGTGAGCGTCTCACTTATGGAGAACAACAGCACCCCAGTCAATAACCATGGCATTGTGTATCGGGTCTGTTCCTAAGGGATGGAACCTGCAACCAAAAAAGGACACTGGCATTCATTCTGCCCATTGCTTACCTTCAGGGATAGAAGACGTTTACAGTTCAACGGTCTTCACTGATCTGCCCAATCAAAACAATTGTTTTAATATGAATAAAATTGATACCACTTCGTTTCTCGTTCTCACAAAACCAACATGTCTGAAGGTATTATATGATGATTGTCCAACACAAGAGGGATGCAAGATAACATTGACATGAGTGAGTTAAGATTTATAGTCACAGCGGCAATATGTACAAATTCATAATAAACGCCATTACATTATGAAAACCTGTCGACCAAGGCCAGTAAAATAACTGGATTATCACAGATAAAGAATTAACACCAGCGTGTATCTGTAAAACTAAACAAATTTTATGGACAATACAGCATAAAAAACGGGCTGGAGATCACCAGCAATACTAGGGACCCATGAGGACTTTCAGTACCTCTGCTACCTGCATGGACCCTAGCTGGATTTACACCATCCCTTCAGGCACTGGTGACTGGAGACAAGTATAGCCATAAATTAGAATCACGCATAATCTACGATTAAAATTGTGGTAAGAGGAAATATACTTTAAGTGTTTCGGGACTTACGTACCCTCTCAGGGGGACAATATTTTTACAATACTTTAACCCCCTTTGAGGATACAGCCACTACCAATCTCGGTTATGAATTTACTCTTATGTTAGGAAATTGATAAAACTGAGAAACATTGAACTGTAAACTGCAATTGGTGGATCCTGAGATCATGAGAACACGGCATTTGCAATGTCTTTAACACTGGCCTGACGAGACTAAAGTGGGGATCAAGGAACACTTTCACAATTCAATAGTTGTAATGCCCACCATAAACAAGGAGAACACTAATGCATAGCCGAATATTTTTGCACATTTCTAATCATTGGTTCCTGGTTGTTTTGATTGTCAATGTACAAATTATCAATGTATAAAATTGCCAATAGTCCTGTGCCAGAAGGCGGTGACTTGTAAGCCTGTCTGGTGATGTTAAACTCCGACTTTCTTTCTCCGCCGAACTGATCTGGCACTAAATCGGTAGACAAATACAGCCTTCCGTGTCTTATTCCCTTGAGAATAAGACCCATGTATCCTGTATATCCGTTGCTAATTTGACACTGAAATTGCTGACACTCCGTGGTGGGGGGAGAGAAGAGGTGCCAAATCATGTCCTTTCATCATGGATCCAGAACAATCTGCTTCATCTCGTAATGAAAAGAAGTTAAGTTTAGAGGATGTAGATCCCTTTTAGTTGATTCCTTCAACCAGTGATTCCTGGGTTTCTCGTAACTGAGGCTACCGATTTCCTTCTACTTAAACTCATCTCAGCTGCTATTGCAAAGCTGTCTCTGGAATTTAAGAAGAAGTCAAGAATGATACTGGTCTCCGTAATGGCTCGTGTTCTGATAGCAATCTCTCAATCTGTTGTCAAGAATCAAGACATTTTCCAATATTGAGGTTGCTGTGTCTGTGCACAGAACGAGACAGAGCACGTTGTCTCTCTGATATGCCAGAAAAGGACATTGCTGCAGAGCTGGAATATCATGTTGTTTCAGCAGTAAAACGATTCACCATTAAAAGAGGAAGTCGTTATGAAAACACACAGGTATATACTGGCGTTTGGTCGTTCCTCTCTTCCAACGTCTTAACATCAGAGTGGATATGTATGTCCCCAATCAACACCGATGTTACAAAAGTCAACATTTCGGTCACGGATCACAATCTTGCCATAACTCTATGGTATGACATCGTTGTAGTGAACGCCATGACTGTATTGACTGCAAAAAAGGACCACAAGTGCACAAATTGTGATGGTGCACACCCTGCCTCATTCAGATCTGTGCTGAAATGAGAATCTGCAATAATGAAACTCAAATGTAAACACAATATTTCATATCAACAACTCCGGTACCTACTCTACAGCAACATCCTCCATTTCTTGTCAGACTGACTTGGCATAGGTAAAATCAGCAAAACCTGCTCCTTCAGCTTCAGCCCGCCAACCTACTTTCCAAATCACTTACTCTACGTAAGGATCTCAGAAAGAAATTCAGACTGATAAAAAATGTGAAATGTCTCCTTGACAACCAGCTGTTGATAATTCAACAAGAAAGAATGGGAAAGGAGTACTAGAGACAAACCGCCTACTGTCCCTGCACCATCAGAGGTCCCTTTACAAAATGCATTTGGACCTCTAGATATGTAGGTTACCCTGCTATGACAGTAAAGTGATTATCACCCCTTTTCTCCTGATGGAGATATTATCTATTTTGGAATGGAGTATTATACACAGTCCTGACTCGCTTGATACCAATCAATTGTAGCTTGTCGCATTTCTCCACACAATGCGCTGCACAGCCCACAGTTATGCAATACCCTGTCTCTACAGCGATACATGTATAAGCTACTAGGAAGTAAATTCATTGACGAGCCTACGGACGTACACTTCCTATGTCATGACACTCAGTATAACGTTATGTCTGCAGAACATGTGATTGTCACGATGCATAGTTTCCTTCTTGGTATGATTTCATACATGAAACATGCAAGTCCAATGAACGCATTAAAGATTTTCGAAGTTTTGTCGTGCTCTGTTTTTCACATAAAGGGGACGGGGCAATTAATTCATGCAGGCCAAGCATACTATATACATGTATCTACTTTGAAATAAAAATTAATAATAAATAAAGAATAATAAAAAATATTCCATGCAAGTCCAGACTACTCTGGTAAGTTCAGATTCATTCATTATTTGGTGTGGTATTATATGAAGAGAATAGTGATCCTTTGTTTGCCATCAAGGTATGTTGAGGAAAGGGATGTTTGGTCTGATATCACCTTGGGTGGCGATGAAAGGGTCAGTGTATACTCTTCAAAAAAGAGAGGAACCTGAAATTTCAATTTGGATAGGAAGTATAAGCGTTACCAATCTTTTAAAGATAGACATCTTGTGAACGCACCGCCATTTTTCTTGATCACCACCCTAGACACAACGCATGGGATGCATGTGCACAATGCAGTAGCCCCATACTTGTCGATGAATCACTGTAGACCATTCAGTTTAACAATCATCTTGCATCACACAGTTGTTAGTGTTTTTTTCTTGCCGGTTTTTTTTTGGTTTAAAAAGGTGAAAATCGTACACATGCAAATTTCACATCATACACCAATCATATTTCAAGAGCAACTTGTCCCTGGTATTGTGATCTACCTTCAGTTGTTGGCGACCCATAGCCTGTTTTTATATTGCATTGTCTTCGTAAATAAAATAGTTTTAGATTTACATGCTAGTTTTAGACACCACCTGTGATACTCTAGAGCGACTATTGTACAAACAACTATGGTCATAAGGTAGTGCAAGTGGTGATGCACTCTCTAAACATTCATTATTATCCTATAAACATTGATTGACTCCGATTATATCTCCCATTTTTTTAAATCGTAAATTTAAAATGAAGTTTTCCTTCATTTTTAAGAGTATATATGTTAACGATCGAGATAATTGGAGGTTTCACATCTACTTTCACAAATGGCTACTCTGATGTGAACAATGAATGAATCACTAAACACGTTCACCACCAATTCTCAAAGGGAATGCTCAATCATCATTTTCTGATGTCGTTTTGATTTGTATTTGTTTAGCAGACGAATGAACACGAATAAAAGTCAAGTACGCATCCAGTACTACCAAGTAAACAGAGTATAATTCGTAGAAATCAACTGATAGAAGTCGTATTTCGTGAAGCTTGTATCAATTATGTTAACACCCCATAGATTTTTAGACATATTGATATTATTAACACTAAACGTATGATATTTCGATCTCTTAAGAAAACTACAACATATCTTTCCACTCAGTTTTGTACTCACTCCTCAAAGCATGGTAACGTAGACTTGCAATGAATCAAGTAATACCTTCATAACTATCACATGTTCCGGTAACTGTAACATTTTATTTGTTGCTAATCTAGTAGCAATAATGACTTCTATATATGGTAAGTTGTTGTAAAATCAGTCTATTTGAGGACGATTATTACGTTCAATGAATTAGTTTGTAAGGTAACGTAGATTACAGCTTTGTTACGTAGAATACAAAATATCATTGTTAAATTCTGACAGAATGGACAAAACTCGTGCAGAGATCCAGCGGGATTAGGAACAAGGGAATAAGGAGAAAGAAGGAATAAATGTTATTCATGTGAGCAAGTGTGTTTGGTGCAAATCTGTAATCTACGTTACAAAAACATTAATATCAATAATGTTACCTTTCATAAATGCAGTTGTATTGTCAGTGAAGTTCAGGATATTACCTCTCAGATGTCGATTCTTTTTGTCGCCTTCTTTTGCGTAAGGAACTACGTTTAACAGGATAACATAAAGTTATATTTTCAAGAGCTTTGACTTGATCAAGTGTATTGTTATAATGGAGAAGATGTTACATATAATCTTGTTTTCATAAAGAAACTCAACTTTGGGATTAACGACTGCATTTTGTGAATGATGTCCCCCTTCAATGTGTTTTACAGCCATCATTGAGAACAGTTAGGCAGATTACAACGACCGTGTAGGGTGGTGTTGCATGAGATGTGATGGAATTTTTACAAGCTCCCCTTGAGTGCTACAATTTCTGATTTTCGTTCGTGACACTTTCTTCAATAGAACAGCAACAACAAGTGACAGAAACATTGTCTGTATTTTTTACGATTTGTGTCTTTCAAATTGGGTATTCTCTGTGAGAATTGGTGTCACTGTTTAGTGACACTCTTCATAAAAACGGCACACAAAGTCCGTGGGACCCGTAAAAATCAGATTGAATTGATCTTCAGCGACCCATGCTTGTCGTAAGAGACGACTAACGGGATCACGTGGTCAGGCTCGCTGGCGTGTTTGACGCATGTCCCAGTTGCGTAGATCGATGCTCATGCTGCTGATCATTGAATTGTCTGGTCCAGACTCAATTATTAGCCTAGTGGTTAAAGCGTTCGCTCGCCACGCCGAAGACCTGGGTTCGATGTCCCACATGGGCACAATGTGTGAAGCCCATATCTAGTGTTAACCGATGTGATATTGCGGGAATTTGCTAAAAGCGGCGTTCAACTAAACTCACTCACTCACTCAATACAGTGACAGTAATGTAGATACAGAGTCTTTGAACGGCATTTAGGTAACGATCATGTTGATGTTTCGGAAGCGTGACTGTTACACGCCCGTGACTTCTCGACACGGACGATAGCAAAACAGTACCGTCATTAGCTATATTTTGATATGTTGGAAGCAATGATTTACTAAATGTACACAAATGTGTCCATGTATATTACAAGAAAGGTCTACACATGACATGAACGAACATCCACAAATGCCTCTCCACATCAACACAATTCGCCGAGCATTGCAACCTACAATAGACAAGGGTCAACATGTCACGGGCCCACTCACAACATACAGTAACCCAAACGTCGGACTCTTTGTAAAGTCGTAGCACATCTGCCTTCGGAAATAACGGTATCTATCCCACATGTGCAACCTATTTATCAAGACTACAATGTGAAAGGTATGGTATGCTATAGAACCCCATGGATACTCACCCGTGTCGTCCCAGATAGGGAAATTACAAACACAACCAGGAAGAAAACTGTAGCGAGACGATCACATGTTCTCCTCATCCAGCACTCTCAGTTTGTGTTGACTGTGTTAAAGTCGATATTACATCCTTGATTGTAGGTTACCTCGTGTATGGAATTAAATTATCTATGTGTCTCCAGCTGATCAAGCATTGCATTGTTATTCTGAATACTGGGGCCAACTTATGACGGAACACACATACTGTTTTATACTCCTAGGTTTGGGGGTTATCCAGGGACTGACACAGTTTATGTTTTGTCAGATATCTGTCTGTTCAAGCCCATTTTGTGTGATATTGAGTTTATTGAGGGATGATCATTTATTGTCGGAGCGGGATACGAGGCAGGTTAGTCTATATGTAACTGAGCCTAAATAGTGTATTTGACGACCGTTTGTAACGTTAGCTTGAGGTCGACACATTGACATTTGCCGTCTCGTTTTTCTCGTTATTTCAGAGATTTATTATGAACACATGAACTGGCGCATTTATACATCCTATAACTACAGGTTCAAACTGTACTTTCAAGTAAGACCTTTTAAGAAAATGTGCACAGTAAAAGGTAGTTATATGGTTAAGTTTATTGAAAGAATAAACAGTAGTCAGTGCATAATGTATGACTACTGACGTGTTCCAAGGTTTTTATGTGATAATGTACCCAACAATATGGCTGCCAGTAGTCAGTAAACACAGGACGAATCCTGATTATTGCGTCGTCTCACTAATCTACTGTTCGGTGTTTAAGATAACAGACAATGTCAAAAAGGGTCAAAGTACGCGTTCATCAAATACGCGAAAACACTGTAAACCAATATGTCCTGATTAATGTACCCTGTCCCTATCAAAGACAACAAAGATAGGTTTAACAAACAACCTTTCAATACCAGAACAGACAAGTGCTGGTTGCTTTGTTGTGTTTTGTTGACATTTGCCATTTCCTTAGTTTTTTAAGGTCGTAAGGTTGTGTTGCAAACTTTTCACTTTCTTCTACAAACTGTCTGCAGACGAAACCATATCCCAATCCAATGTTTGTTCGTGTGTTGTTGTTTGTTGCCTCTTGAAGACTAACCCGGATCTTCACGGGTTCCATATTAAATAAAGAAGTTCACTGAATATAACAATACAAATATTGTTTTTTTTTAGTTCTTTGAAGAGAGGAATGGATACCCAACATCACATTTTCTGCGCGTGTTACTTTAAGCATGATCTACACTATGAAATACACTGGCTCCGGTGTGTCAGTGCTATATTATATTCTTCCGAAACAAAACTTGACCCTGAACACCATGTCCTGGTATCTACGTTCAATGGCGAGGGCAATATAGGAGACTTATGGTAGGATATTAAGTGCTTACATCTATATTAAGTAAATGACGAGGAGTAGGAGGAGAAGGATAGTTCCATAAAGATTCGTGGGGGATGACACAATGGTCATATTAACTTCCCAGTGGTTGCACAATGCCATGACGTTATTCCTGGTGGTAAATGTGCTATCCCGGGTTTGAATCCTCAGTTTGGTTCAATGAGGAATGCTATAGTCTTGTGTCTCATGATCACCTCGTAATAGTCTTCCATACTCCCTACATGTACAAAAAGCCAACGTTTATTCGTCTTTTTTGTCAAGAACTGTATCCCTTTCGCGATATACCTCACTGAATGGGAGAGTGTGCTTCCAGCAATAATTCAGCACATACCCAGGCGGGACACATTAACCCATGTAGGGACTCAAACTCTGTACTCCGGCTGGACGAGAGAATGCTGTAGTCACTTGCATATCCCAGTGCCTGCTTGTGTAAGCATGTGTTTCTAAAGCAAGAAATTCCATTCATAGGAAAAAAATACATTGAAGTGAAGAATATGCTTGTTTTATCAACCAAATGATCTCATGCTGTTAAAATGTCTATAAAACAATAGTTTTGAATATCTTTACATGTTCAACTAGATATCTAATAGAAAGACCTCAACCTGCTGTCAGTAATGGACACCGTCAATTTACAAAACCCTCACCACTGCATAACCATCTCTTGTCTAGAATGCATTATTCATATTTAGTGTTATCTGGTTTCATAGGCTTCGGTGTATATGAGCGAACTGACAGTGAGATACTTACTATGTACTGACTTAGTTACTAACACGTCCTCAGGGTATTGACCAAATTATAAATATGAAATGTTACCGGCACCAACCACTAACAAAAACCTGTAAAACACCTCTTGTTGAATGTTCTTCAAAACTGTGTTAATGTCAAAACATGCACGCTGTTTTTTCTTCTTTGCTGCTTGTTGATATTGTAGTTATGATCCTTGATACATGCGTTACGTTCAATAGTTATATAGCATACATGTTTGTGTGAAAATAAAGAAAAAGAATCCTTCTTGGTTGAGTTCATTTATTCTTTGGTGTTCCAACACACTGAAGGTCTATTGCTCCAATTCCTTTCCAAAGTCAAGCAATTTCTTTCTTAATACTAACAGATTAACTGAAACAAAATAAAAGGTGATTTCGAGTTAAATTACTCCAGAAAAAATACCAAAGAAAATGATAGAAATTAGACCTACTAGAAAAAAACCAATGAAAAAAATTACAAATGATAAATTCTAAAAAGTTACTTTATAACACTTAAAGAAAGATAAAGACATTTACTAAGTATTTGAAATTGATTTCCTACCATTATTTTTGGGGTAATGTAGTCCTCAGATTCTCATCTCAATGTGCTGCATAATGAGGCAAGCACATGGTCCCAAACCAGCATAAACTAGAGTAACCCACCCCTGGCCCCTTGATATAAAGTCTAACAGAAACTAAGTAGAAACAGAGAGATGTGAGTTCAAACCCAGAAGTGGAAAACAAAATTTTGGCAAATTAATATTTTACCAAAGTAAAAGATTTGAGAAAAACGAAACTAAAATTAAAACAGAAAATAAAATTTACCAATGATAAAATAAAACAACTTTAGCCATTACATAACGGCCCACAAATTGGGAACTTGGAGTGAGCAAATTTTCTCTAAACTACATGAAAATGGTCAAAGTTACAGGAAATATTCATACATGATTGATAAACTCCTGTTAAATGCTCAGGAAAGTAGATAAAATAAAACACAAATTATAGTTCATGATTGATTTCTTCTTTCCTGAAATAAAGGTCGTGCAGTTTCTTATAACAAAATTTTGACAAATTAATATTTTACCAAAGTAAAATATTTGAGAAAAACGAAACTGAAATTAAAGCAGAAAATAAAATTTACCAATGATAAAATAAAACAACTTTGGCCATTACAATACATTTGTTAAGCTGTGCGATGAAGATGATATACTATCAGGCTTTATTTTCAAACAGACGGACTCATGACCACATGAACAAGTGAACATACGTTCTACTAAACATCAAGGGATGTTTAGTCCTTCAATGAGACAGTTTCTTGTAAGTTTATCAAGTACATTATCAAGAACTTGACAAGGCATTGGTCAAAAGATAATCTGATAAGATTAACAAATAGAAACAAAGTTGTATAAAATGGTATTGAATGAAGGCACTCTTGTTCCAATGGCTAAAGTCAAGTTTCTCCTGCCTGGATCATTTCTAGGAAATGTATTGTAAACAAGGGATGTGAACTGTGTCTCCTGAGCAGATCATAAAGATATACATTATTTGTGTATTATGCTTCATAAATGTATAGCTCCATTAAAGGTTTCCTCATACTCTACTATACATTGTCTAAATTTCATTCGTACCAGGCGCTATCACGACGTCTCATCCTGCTTATAGATACAATCATCTTTCAACGCAATCAAAGCACGTTATGTCCAGTTTTTCATGCCGATGGTACGAACTATTATTGAATTGACAATCAGTATACATTTATTTCTTTTGGAATAAAGAAGAAGGTGCATGATAGAACTGACATACAGAACGGTCTTTTTGAATTTACGAGATAAAGCAGTTGGGTATTGGGTACAAGTCTCTCTAGATAATAACCTCTCTAGAGCTATACTCTAACCATTATAATGGATACAGTATGTACAGGAAATACAGAGTGAATAAGACAAGGTAAGTTCATATTCTGTCCGGTTCAGACAGGTTGTTGTTCTGTAGGTGAGGAGAACCGTTATTACCTGCTTGTGTATCATAGATTGGCGTAGATGCTGGAAGCACCAGTTTGTATTCCTTCACTATGTTATAGCACAGCTTGAACTGATCCTGCAAATAACATATAGTAATATACTACAGGCACATAAAGAAACTGTGCATACAAAAATTTAAAATCTAAATTTATCAAACCTGTGTAGACACATGAGGATTTAAACTCAGAGATTAGTGACATGTGTCCAACATGCATGCACGTGACACGTTCCGTGACGTCAGTGGGTTCGTCTTTGAAACGTGCAATACGTTGTTGCACGTGCATTCCGGGTAAGAGAAACAGAGCAAATGAATGCCACACAATACTGTCACTTTGGAAAGCTCAACTCCTGCCCTTGCGATCGTTAAAAAAATAAATGGCTATTGAAACGCATAACATGCCAAGGTTCACGTCTGCACAACGTCATGCGGCCATTGGGATGGTCCGTGGGGGAATGTCTCAACGAAAAGTGGCTGCACATTTCCACTGCCATCGGAACACCATTTCTGCATTGGTGAGACGCTACCAGAACACAAATGACGTCATCGATCGGCCACGTTCTGGACGTCCACGTGTAACAACGCCAAGACAGGACAGATGGATAAGGGTGACCCATCTTCGCCACAGGTTTCAGACTGCAGTGATGACTGCCCGAACCATCTCAGGACTTCGCCGTATCCACCCCCAATACAGTTCGACAACGTTTACGTCATCACGGGATCAGACCACGACGTCCCGCCATACGGCCTATCCTGACACAACGTCATCGACAAGCTCGCCGAATGTGGTGCCGAAATCATGTCCGCAGACCCTTGTTTTGGTGGAGAAATGTTGTTTTTACAGATGAGTCCAGGTTTAACATTTCCCATAGTGATGGACGTCAACGTGCCTATAGACGCGTGGGAGAACGTTATGCACAGGCCTGTGTCTTGAGAGAGGAATCGCTTGGGTGGTGGTTCCGTGATGATTTGGGGTGGAATAACAGCACGCCAAAGAACTCCTTTGGATTGTTCAGGGCAACTTAACTGGTGTGGGCTACAGGGATCAGATTCTTCGACCTGTGGCAATTGCTTTTCTGCAACGTCATGGCCCTGGGTTAACATTCCAACAGGACAATGCCCGCCCTCATACGGCAAGGGTTGCTATGGATTTCTTGCAACACCACAACGTTGACTTACTGCCTTGGCCTGCAAATTCACCGGATCTCTCCCCGATAGAGCATGTTTGGGACGAGATGGATCGACGTCTACGCCGTCTTCCTCATCCGCCAGATAACGTCCTTGACCTTGCAACAGAACTTGAGAGAATCTGGCGTGACATCCCACAAGCCTTCCTTGCACGTTTGATAGGTTCTATGCGTCGTCGATGCACTGCTGTTCTCAATGCCGATGGTGGACATACCTGTTATTGAGCTTGTGACATGGTCGTTTGACCCTGTCCCGCTTGTGGACTCGTGACGTCATTGTGATTGACTTTTCAATTGAAATTCTCCTGACTTGTTGTTATGGTCTCATGATCCTTCCATTAAAGTTTATATGTACCTTTGACATTGTTATCGTACTTTATCAACTGGGATAATATTTTGACAATGCAGTTTCTTTATGTGGCTAGTATATATATGTGCATCATTCTAAGAACTGTGCAATAAAATAACTAAATAGTAATCATTATAAACCAAAACACCGAATCGAAGGAAACACATTTACATTTACATGACAATGTAATTTGAACTTCACCTATATGGAACATAATATGTGCCATGGTTATATTATCCTTGATAATGTGAACGGTCACAAATTACAAACTTACACCTCTCGCACGAGTTAAATATTTCACAGTAAGCGTGTCAGAAATGACGATCTACTCACAAAAGTCTGTATGAACTTGGGTCGTACACGCTGTAGTTGCCCCGAATGGAGAAAGATGTCCACTGTTCTCCAACTTCAGCCTGGCAGTGATGATGTTCAGGACGCTACAGAACACACCACTTGCTCCGGCACCGTCACTGATTGGAAATCAACATTAAAAAAATCGTCAGAGACCACCCCTTTGGGTCATGAAAAGGCTGCCATCATAACGCAGAATAATCCCACCGTTTGAAAACCAAAGAGACAAATTCTTACAATATTCATTCAAAGCTATTACGGTTAAAACAACTTGTGAGCGTGGTTTTAAACAATATTTCAGCAATATCAAGTCAGATGAAGCCAGAAATGGGCTTCACACAATATACCCATTTAGGGCATCGGAATCGGACGCTTCAACCACGAGGCTTCGAATTCCTCCACCGCTTTATATATAATGCATTGGACCCAGACCGGTAAAATGTGTCGGTTTAGAGAGAGAGTCCACTGTGTATATATCAAGATAACCTATCCTTGGTCGGATTTTCAGAGCCAATATAACTTATCGTATTAAGTATGTGATATTGTTATTGGCTTTTCACATATGTAGCTTGCACTTAGGGAAATTCTATTTTGGACTCATAGCAATCCAAGTTTTCTGTTTACCCTTCCCAATTTGATTTTGCATCCCCAGGGTCAATATCAAGACGTTATGTGATGTGACCTTTGTTGTTAATACTTCGGGATACTTTACCATTCGATTCTACGATTCGCTGTTGTCACGCACATGTTTCACAAAGTTATCATTGCACATTGTGAACTAGTAATGATACATTTGTTAAGTGTCATAAATGGCTCCTATGGCGTAAATTATATGCAAGGTAAGCGTAATTCACATATAACATACACATTAAACTTACTGACAGTGCACCAGAATCTTGTGGTCAGCAGAACTGATAATCCTGTCCACTCTTACTGGACCAGCTCCAGAAGGGTTCCAGTGTTGGTCAGCATGTCCAGTGATGGGAGGCAAAACAAACTGATCGACTTTGTTGCCGTTCTGTTCATTGGAATAAAATCCTAAACGCATGTAAAATTGAAAGACTGCATACAAATGAGTGAAGGAGAAATTCCTTCTCATCGGGACAATGAACATTAACAGTATTATCGTAACGGCTTGAACACCCTGAGATGTATCAGATACAACGTTACTAAAACCTAATAACAGCGTTAACGCCTCTGTCATTGGTGATATCATTTTCGATAGTGCATTATATGATAATTACTAACAGACCTCCTTGCCATGTGCAAGCCGTCATCTCTTCTTCCATGTAGAATTCTCTGTTGGAATCCCGCTTCCACTTTGCATAACATTGAATGGTCCCTGTTTCCAGCACTTTGTTTTCTTCTAGGTACATCCTCCAGTTAACTTCCCTGCATGAAAATCGAATCGGGAATTTGGACATACTTTGTTTCTAATTGTACGCCAGGTGTCTTACTATGAAGTGGCCCATGCGGAGAGAAAAAAGCGAATTTGAGGAGACAATGGGATATTTGATATCAGACAATACATATTTCTTACTCATTTTCGCATATATACATTCTGTTAGTCCAATAAATCAAAAATTTTGATATGAAAGTACATTATCGTTTCTCTGTCAAATCGTGCCAGTTCTAAATAAAAAGAAAGCTAAAATTTCATTCGTGTTGCTCAATTTTAAAAATCAACGCACAGTGATTATGGGATGACTTGAAGTCATGTAAATTGTTTTATAGAAGCACCGACCTGATTATCAGACAACGCGTTTGTCTGGTTACGTAAATCTGTTCAGTAAAAAACGGTCGTTGAATGGATTGAAATATTTCCCAGTGCAGTAATGACCACCAACCGACCAACCGTCAACATGATGCAAAAATAGTGTGTAAGACTGTTATTGATAATAAAATAAGATGTTGCCCCAATATTTACCTGTGCGTCATCCAGACAGAGACGATGGTGAAACAGTCATGGTCATACAAGTCTCAGAAGTCCACCACAGTGTCTGGTAGCGGGTCTGGGTGACGATCAGGCTTGACAGATGCAAGAGTAGACTTGAAACAGAAATAACACCTATCGCTACTGGTAGCAAGGGACCGGCAACGTCATCCGTCTCTAAGAGTTTGGAGTAACTCCCAATTATTTTCGGATCATCGTTTTGATGTTGTGCCTGTTTTGTTATGTTAATTTGAAATTCACCTCACAGAAAATCCCTCTCATATAGCTAAACAGTTTTGAAATACAATTGCTTTAACTGTTTTTGTTGTTCCATAGCTTTGATGGTTATAATCGACTCACTGGTAGAAATAATTCCGCTGATGTAGCCATTTCTGTTCTGGACAGGTGTACACAGATACGGCCTTGAATTATTTCCTTTAAAGAGATCATTATTATTATTTTCGTCACGGCTTAAGTTATAATTGTGACTTAGTCGTTTTCATTTAACAAAACAAATCACAGTTCAATCTGATAATCTGCTCATTATTGAACATCATGTACATTGCTCACGCATAATGTGTGTTTTGTATGTAAAATATAGTCCTTGCTGTTACATTTCATTTATGACTGTGTTCATCTTACACGTTAAATGTTACATAGTACTAAAGATGGTATTTTTGACCTCGGACAAACTGTTTGTACCGGGAAGAATATCCAAGCTCCTATTTTGTCCGAGTTCTCTGGAAGCAGTGCATGATGATGCCTGCTCTTCTGTAAAGGTTAGATGATAGCTCTCTCAGTACCTGGAAATAAAGGAACATGTAGTACCTCAGTGATCAAAATACGACTTGATTCAGCTGTTGAAATACACTTTGAATTGTTTCTTCCGCATGTCCTGGAGAAATGACCTTGTGGAAATACTCTGTATCAACATCATGACCTGCTGTTTTCGACAAGGTCTCTTTATCTTTAATACCTAGGTATTCCTAGGTATCTTTGAATACCTAGAATTGTATCTACTACGTGTTAGATACACCGACTTAAAATACTTGAATATTTTTGCAGTGGGACTCTTGTTGATCTAATATGACTTGGTCTTCTATTGAAACACTACCTTGAATTCTTTTTCAGCATGGCCTGCTGTTGGTTGTAAAGGATTCTCCGATTTCAAATGTTTTGTCGAAGTCTGGCAAGTCTAGAGCGTTCCCACGACTGTGGAGCGCCTGTTACGACATCATGGACAAATTGTACTGACTTTGAACAGACAATTTAAACAGTCATTAATATGTATATGGTAGTACGTGTCAATATATAAATAGTAGAGATTAACCTCGCCACATCACCAAGCCAGCTGTCGTTCATTTCCAGAACACGTACTGATATGTTTGCCCATGCAGAGAGAGTAAAAATATCCGTTAATTTTTCACCTTATCCTTGGAATCATTCGGTCGGTATCTTCAAACGACCTTTTAGATAGAACATGAATATATGAAGGATAAACAACAATGAAGTGCTCTGCTATCCGTTCATATAATAATGTTTTCAGCATTAACAGTCATTCCAGTTCAAACTTTACTATCAATAAACATTGTAACATTTGTAAAACCAAGTAGCCACCAATTGGCTTTTGAGACGGTTAACGTTGCTACAAAGGAACTCACTACGTTAATGTTGTTCCCTTTTAATGATATGGTTCGGTGTTTGAATTGTTATGATTCATATGAATTGTTGGCATTTGTAATGTGTTTGTACCCATGTTTGATAGATCATAGCACATACCTCCGTCTGACCACATGTTCCATCCTGTTCTGTCTCATTTTGCCAACACATGAACACGTTGATCTCTGTTGTCGCTCTCAGCTTCATCCATCGGGGATAGTCCAGGGCAAATGAAACGTTCCTGTTCGACTCACTCCAGCTTTCTGGGAAGATGTAAAAAGAATACTTACTAGAAACATAAACTGTTAAGGTGATGCTCATCGCATGACATCTGTGTTGCTGCATGACAAGTACCTGACGTACTTGGGAATTTTGGTGTACAATAATTGAGGATGGATTCGACTCAAGGTGAGTGAGTGACTTTAGTTTTACGCCGCTTTAGCAATATTCCAGCAATATCACGGCGGGGGACACCAAAATGGGCTTCACATATTGTACTCCATGTGGGGAATCGAACTCCTGGTCTTCGGCGTGACGAGCGAACGCTTTAACTAATTAGGCTACCCCACCGCCCCGATTCGATCAAGAACGTGTTCAGTGAATGTTTCTGAGTTTTCGCAAAAATAAATGTCCTCTTCAGAAGGTTGCTAAAATATCATTCGTTATAGCATTAACTTGCTAAAAAGAACCAATATACCGATAAAATGGTATCAATTCCATTCACAGAAGAAATTATGTAAGCATGCCAACAATTAAATATTTCAGTTTCATCTTTAGTTTTGACCTGCAGATCTTTGCAGCACGACTTATAACCTGCAAGTCCGTGAGTGTTTATCGGTGTGAACATATTTGGCATATTCAGTCAAATTGTCCCTGTGCCCACACATCAGCGCATTGTTCCTCCTCCTCCCCATTTGATGTTAACAGCCATGGCTCCCACTTCATCAAGGATGCTTTCTGTGTGGGTCTGTCTATTGTGTCAATCTTTAAAAGGTACCCTGCGTTGCACCATCATTGGTCCCCTGCCCATGTCCCCTGTTTGACCAGTCTCCGTAGAAGCTGATGAGGGCAGGAGCAGAAGGAACACCATAGTCAGGCCAAGATGTGATAGTGGTAGTGTGTCACAGTTTTCTCTCGATACCCTGTGTGGAGCATAAGTTACAATGAACAAATCCATCCATCAACAGAAATTATTAGGTTAAGGTTAAATAACATACTGCTCAAGCATAATACCACGTACAAAAGCAAAACACAAAAAACGTTGTGTTTTGTGCTGACTTAACATATAATTAAGCCCACAAGAGAAATATTTACATACACTTTTACGATTTCTGTAATGTTTGCTAACAAATGAGCCCCCGAGCCCAAGAATAATTGTTTTTGTCCGTTTAATTGCGTTAATTGACATAACGTATTGCCTTTGTTTAAAGTTAATGAACGGTTAATGAATGGAATTAATCATGAAAATAAAATGTCATCGCACAATTTTCCTTGCATACACTTACAGCGCATTGCACCTGGACAGTAGAAATAGTGTAATCAGCTCTTTGTTGTTACATCCTTGTTATAAAACCCGAATGTTTCCATACGGTTTCTGGTCTTGGTCGCATCAGGCCAATATTTTCAAACTTTATTCTAGAAAACCAGAAAAATCCACAACTGTATTAACTCTATATTTTGCTTAGGAACAAATCACCAACAGGGGTTCATGTATAACATAAATTACCAATATGTAGACATGTAGATAATTCTACCAAAGAGTCAATGGAACCATGGAACATATTTCTAGAAAGAAAAAAAGAAGTTCAAACAACTGGAGTGTGATTAATTTATAGTTTGCTTAAAGACCAATGGCCAACTTAAATGTTCATGGATATGTTGATACAAATTATCAGGTATGTAGACATGTAAGATAATCTACCAACAGTCAAAGGAAACCATGGAAATTACATCCTACCTTGTTCACCTCTCCATCAGCTCCTCGTCAGCATGACTATCTGTGTGACGATCCTCCTGCCACACCATCCGCTGGTAGAAGTCAGTGACTGTACCTGGCTTGGTCCTGTGGTGTTAATTACATTGTCTTTAGGTTTAAGAAACATATTTCATTTCAAGTAATATGACGCAAGTCATCCATTACTACACACGTGTTTTGTATAACAGAATGAATACATAACTAACACCGCGTGACTATAAAATTCTGAGTATCATCATAAAACTCTGAAAAATAACATAAACTACATTGACGCTTTGTCTGCATATAGTGAATGCGCATAACATGAACCTATACCACAGTCAGTCAATCAATCTTTATTTTATACTGGCAAAAGAAAGGCCACTGGTCTGTAGTACAATAAGTAATCATGTGGGTTGTAGTACATTCTTTCTGAGAATAACAGCTAGAAGATATATGGACAATCTTTGTAAAGTGTGTTTCACTGGAATTATTCATCAATGATATAAGCATATTGGAGTTTCAGGATGTAACATGACATAATATTTCTTTATATATCTTTTCTCAACGATAAGTTTGCTGAGCAAACACACATAAAAGTGAAGTTCATCTTCGATACCTCGTTTAAGTTACACAGTACATTTGACGGATTATTTTCATTTCTTCTTATTTCCTTGGTATCTTCCAGTTTCAAGATATAAATAATGCACAGAGCGAGTGAAATTACGCCAGTGAAGATGTTGTTATGGTCAAAAAATTGAAAGATAATTTCCCAGTATATGG